ATGGGGGCCAAGCCAGGAGTGGGAATAGAGCCCCTCTTCTCCTTTCTTAGCTACCCACAGTTGGGCCTTCAGAGAAGGGGCAGGGGACAGAGGACAGAGCCAAGCCCTGCAGGTAAGGGCATGCAGACACCTCCTCCCAGGGACAGTAGGCTGCCCTTCCTGGCTGCCCTTGGCGATGCAGGTTCTATGAGGTGGAGGCAGCCTCCCCATTGTAATAGCAGCAGATCCCATTATGCTCCATGAGTCTGACACATGGGAACGCATGGAGCGAGGAGCTATAAAGCCCCTGGCAGGGAGCATAAAAGTAGGGTGAAGACTGTGGTGGGGGGAGGCTGTCGCCCCTGGCTGGGCTCTGCCATGTGCAGCAGATGAGGACGAGAAATAAAGAGGCTTATTTCAGCACCCTGTTATTATGGCATCTTGTTTCCATAGTTTGTTCAACAGACCTCTCTCCCTCCTCCCTATGAGCTCTCTCGCTCTCTCTCTCTCTCTCTCTCTCTCTCTCTCTCTCTCTCTCTCTCTGTCTCTCTCTTTTTCATCTTCCTCTCTCAGCAAATCCATTTAAATGCAATTCTATTCTTAAAGCGCCCCTCTCATGCATGTCTAATGAATGTCAGGGAGCCGCTATTACAATGGGGCCGAGGAGGGTCCAATCCGCAGTGTGTATACAAGTCATTTGAAAGGGAGCCTGGGAGCGCTCCAGTTTTATTACAGCATAATTAGAAATAAAATCTTGTTGCAATAGGCGGGTGAGAGATGTGTGCTAATCCTGGTGCCGAGAAAGAGCTGTAGAGAAAAGGATTCTGGGAAAAAACGAAGAAACTGCCTGCTGTAGCAGCCCCTCCCAAGGTTCTGTCTTGGCTGTCCCTCTTGAGACCTGGTCTTCAGCCCCTGGGATCCCAGCTGCCTGGAGCTTTCCGCAGGGACAGTACTGAGCCCTTCTGGAAGTCCGTGACCCAAGTGGAAGTCTGCCTGGATCCTAGTGAAGTAGATCCAGCCCACCTCCACCCAAGCCCTGCCACCAGTAAGTCACTGCACACCCCATATACTCAAAGGACCACCCTACGAGCTGTAAGGAGGTGACGGTGGCAGCTGATAGAGGACTCGGAGGCTGAGACCCAGGTCTAGATCTGAACTCTCACTTCCCAGAGTCCCCAGAGATCATTTGCTTAATGTACTGGACACCTGTTGCCTCATAGCCGTCGTGGTAGGCACATCCATTAGTTCATTTACTCCTAAGAGGGAATGGGATTCAGAAAAAATAAGAACTTTCTACACCTTCCAGCTAGAAAGGGGAACATGGTTTGAGGCCCAGCCCTGTGACTCCTCTCACCATGCTGTTGACGTAATGGGTCCTTCAGGGACATCATCTGCTATTAGACCCAAAAGCAGTGATGATGGGCAGGTAGACCCTGACATGCCCCTCTGACAGGGAACCAGGAGTTTATGGGTAATGCCAGCACCACCATAGGGCTATTCTGTCTATCTATGTGGAGAATAACTCCAACCCAGGGGCTATGTAAAGATTGGCTCCTGCCTTCTGCAGCCCTTGAATAGAAATGGGGTTCAAAGAGTTGAGCTCCCTATCCTTGCTCAGACAGTGGAGGGTAGACCATCAAATCCCTAGGGGCGCGAGACTTGGAAGATGCATTCTAGGGCAACTGGTTGTCTTCCTTCACTCAGTAAGAAAACTGAGGTCCACAAGGTTAATGAAGCTTGTCTGAACTCACCCGGTCAACCCGAAGCCAGGTTTCTCATCTCCCACCCCAGTGGGTTCAATTCTGCCATGCCTGTCTCCACATAAGTGCTTCCCGTGGGTGACATGCCTTAGCTACAGGACCTTTTCCAGCAATGTGTCCTCACTCCCCAGAACTCCATGGCTGACAGCTCTGACAAACAGTTGACTTAAAGTGTGGTACGTTGAATGCAAGGTCAGCCAAACCCATGGCTAGGCTTGTCTCAGGACTGAATTCAACAGGGGACAAGGCAGCTCAGGGGATAACTCTGTGACCCTCTAGCCTTGTGGGAGAAACTGAGTTTGCATGAGAGCCTTTAGGGACTATGTCAGCCTCCCTCCATAGTCAGCCACTTTCTCCCTTAGCACAGAAGCAGTAGAGGGGGAATTAAAGAAGTTACTCCTCCGACACGCCCACATCACCGCACTGCCTGGGAACACTTGATGCTGCTTTGTAGCCCCCATTAGGGGCCTGGCATGCCCAGCCTGGTCTTGCGCTTAAGATGAATATGAGACCGTGGTGCCTATACTAGTCCTCAGGATGCCCTGTTCCAGAAAGAGGGATCCAGATCTGCTCACTTCCACTTGGAGACTGTTCAAACCCTCTCTAGTCAGAATGTGCTAGCTCCAGCTACCATTTCCGACTGTGCATGCCCCACCCACGTTTGCATGTACCAAGACCTCCCTCCCAACCACATAGTCTCTTCCTGCCTCGGTACATCCATCCACCAAGGCTGCTCAACTTGACGGGAGATAGGAGGTCTCTCCTGACATCTCCACTTTGGTCCAGACTCTGCTCTGCCTTACTTCCTATTGATAGAATGTACAGGAATGGGCAAGGTCTGAGCCTTTGAGAATGCAGATGAGGCCCTGCCTATGCTAAAAGGCCATCCCCCAGGGAGGGTCCCTGTCCCTGTCACCTTGAGATTTTGCTTTCTGTCCCCCTGACACTCTGCTTTTCTCTGGGTTCCTAGCCCCCATACCCATGGGAGGACTCAAGTTGTGTTGCGTTCACCCATCCTCTTTCCTCACTTTCTAAACTCAACCTACAGAATCTGATTTAGGACTTGTGCCTCTTCCTCACCTGCACCATGGTATGTACATGCATGGAGCAGGTCTGTCCCCTGAATGCCAGTGCAAGAGGAGTCTCTTGGGAGTGAAATACCTGTACAGGTGAGGTAGTTCGACGTAGGGCTCCTCGGACCACTGAAGCATGATGGTGCAGACCAATGGCCTAATGAATTTATTCACAAGGTTTTAGCATCTGGAACCTAAGATCATGGATGCATTGCCTCAGGGTGCCTTTCTTTTTGGGCTTGACACAAATTAAAAACTTCATAAACTCCACCTGGATCCTTTGCCAAGCCAAGATGCACAGCACCCTTGAGGGATACCCAATTGGCTGCCTGGCTACAGGTCCGCAGCACGGGGCCTTGCTCCAGGGCCTCAGCTGTGCACCCTGTCATACCTGTGGGGCAGAGGATTCCTTGGCTGCTGTCCCACTCCCAGAGTGGGGGCCCCTATCTTGAGCATCATGTTCCAGCCTTGGAGGTACAGACACGCTAGAAAAGGACGCCCCCATCATTTTGCAGCATTTAAGCTCAGTCTTCACAGAACCGAAGCTCTGTGCACACTAACAACAGCATGCCCTTTGCCCCTTCTCTAAGCCTCAACACTAACCAGTCTGTTTTCTGTCTCTATGGGGGTAACTGCTACAAAAACCTCCTCTGAATTGATGTGCAGCATATTTGCTTTTTTTGAGGATATTTTTTTTTTTTTTTTTTTTTTTTTGCTTGTATTATGATGTCCTCAAAGTTCAACCATGCCGGAAAAAAAAAAAGAATCAGAAAGGCCTTGCTTTTCAAGACTGAATAATATTCCAAAGTATGTATAGTGCACAGTTGGTTTATCCTCTCATCTATCCGTGAATCTTCCTGGCTGCTGTGATCAGTGCTACTATGAATACAGTGCACAAACCTCTTAAGCCCTGCTTCCTGTCCTTTTTAAAAGTGGAATGGCAAGATCGTGGGGGAATTATTTGTTTGTTTATTTATTTACATATAGTTGACAAACTCCCATATTGCTTAGTCTTGACTTTCACATGCTTGAAACAATAATCTTTAAAGTGTGGTTCACACGTGTAACCCCAGCATTTGGGAGGCTGAGGCAGAAGGATCCCTACGAATGTAGGGTCAAGCCTGGGGTACATACTGAGTTCCAGGCCACCCTGGGTTTAAGACTGAGACCCTGTCTCTAACGAACAGAAGTCCAGTGGGTTCCATAGAGGCAGTGGTGAGTTGCGGAGATGCAGGCACTCTCAGAAACCTGGAAGGGCTTCCCGGAGGAGAGAAGTGTGCAGCAAGCATACAGACATTGTCACTTCCTTTTCGGTGATTAGAGATTGCTCACTCACCCTGTAAATCTCTGCTGAGTGTCTATGTTGTGGCAAGCACTGCTGTCACATTGGGTAAAACGAGGTCCCACTGAGAGAGTCTCACTAATGCGTCAGGTGATCCACCTTGGGTTGAAAGCATCACTCTGGGTGTGGGCTGGGGACAGGTTGGGGAGGCAAAGGGGGAAGAAGGGACTGGCTTGCGAGCTGCAAAGCTGATCCTATTTCTGCAGAGGCTCCAGCAGGATCTGCACAATTTACTCCCTCCCCCAAAGCCTCAGCCAACCTCAGCCTCCCATGTCCCTGGTGCCTCCCAGAGGGCAAGGAACAAGAGACCCACCTCTCCAGATGCTGACTTCTCCTGTCAAGCCCTCTGGCTGTCATGGAGTCTCCGTCAATCAAGTTTCAGTAAATTCCGCAGCTGCAGGAGTCCCCGTGGCACAGCTCTCTGACCTTCTGGGAGAAGACAGGAAAGACACTGTCACCTAAACTTAGCACCTACGTAAGGGAGGAGGGGCTTTTTGTTCTCAGACTCCTGCTCCCTGGCCTAGCTCTAAAGGGGCACGAGGACCTGAGTTCAGATCCCTAGTGCCCACACAGAAAACCAAGCATGGCGTGTGTATCTTAATCCCAGCCCTGGGGGACAGAAACAGATCCCTGGAGTTTAATGGCCTGACAACCTAGCTAGATTGGTAGCTTCTGGTTTAGTGAGACACACAAACTCAAGTGTGTGTGTGTGTGTGTGTGTGTGTGTGAGTGAGAGAGAGAGAGAGAGAGAGAGAGAGAGAGAGAGAGAGAGAGAGAGAGGCTATATGGATCTCTGGTCTTTACATGCACTCATACTAACACGTGAGCACGCATACAAATACACACACACACACAAGACCTAACAGCAAAATTCCAGAATCCTAGAAAGCAGCCAAAAGCCAGGCTCACCTGTCTCATTTGTAAGATATATCCTTGAAGCCTGCTGGCCAGAGCCCCATCTTACTCCCCAACATTGCTGAGACCATGACCTATGAGTCCTATGAGTCCATTCCCCTCAGTCTCCTGAAGGAGAGTGGGTTTGCACATGCTCAGGGGTCAGAGTCCTTTCAGCTGTTTCTGACTAAGAACTCCCCTGCCCCCACAGGCCAGCACCTCCCAAAAGCCTATTGCCAAAGCACCACACCCACAGATTCTAGAAAGTTCCCTGGATGAAAACAGCAGACAAACATGGTGGAAACACTCCCTTGATTGAATGAATAAGCAGCAGAAGTTTTAAGAGAGGACACCCAGTACCACACCAGTGCCTCAGAGATGCCACGTGTGCAGGCCGCATGGCTTTGTATAGCAGAGATTTGAGGTTCTATAGTTCTACAGGCTGGATGGCCAAGGTTGAGGTGTGGACAGGGCTGGTTCTCCAACTCTGAGAGAGAGGTCTTTCCAAGCTCTCGGCTTCCCCAGGTTCCTCGTAATGCTAGTCCATTCTTGTGTGGGGATGGATCAGTTAGCCGTCCCCAGATCTCTCCAGAGCATTCTCTGCACCTGCACACCTACATCTACATCACTCTCTTCTTGCCTAGTGTCTAACAGATGCTCAATAAATATTTAAATTTAGAAATTCTGTCAAGGCCACCAAAGAAGAGAATGACAAAATGGGCCAGGACATGATGTATTATGATCAGAAAAGAAGGAAAGGGTACGCTAACCACGTTCACCATTTCCCTGTCCATGAGCATGGTGACAGTGGTGCCATATGACAAGGCAGCATTCAGGATGAGGCGCGGCTCGATATCCTGCTCTTCTAGCCTAAGAGTGGGTGACTCACTAGCATAAACCCACAGGGATGCTACCACCATTCAGAGTAGTCACTTGGGTACCCAGCAACGAGGACCCCACCAGTGTGATGCCATCAGCATCTCTCGCAGAGGTTCCAACTAGCAATCGCTCAACGCCTCCACCCATCCCTACAGCTACCTAACGCATTCCAAATGGCCAAATGGGTCAGCAGCACTACTTTCCTGCAGAGGGACACCTTGTGCTTTTAGGAGGAGGAGTCAAAGATGTAGACTATCTCAAGCCACCACCCCTATGTCAAATAACATTGGAATAAATTATTCCAAATAACACTGGAAGCCAGCATATTTATTGAGTCCTGTCCTCCCTGAGGTCCACAGCGAGCTCTGTCTTCCTGGGCTCTGCACACTGTTCAAGACTCTGGCTCTGCTCCATAGACTTCTATAGCCTCCTGTGCCCAGAAGGGATCCCCCAACCCCCACTTTTGATTCTCATCAAACATGCAAACCATGGCTGAGCCCCGCCCCCAAGGGATTAACATAATACCCCTGATTTCTCCTTCCCCTCTCACACTGCGCATCTCTGGACTGCGGCCTGCCTTTGTTTCAGTAGGAGCAAAACACTGTGTCTGAAAAAAAAAAAAAGACAGAGAGAGGGAGAGAAAAAAAAACACGCTACTGCAATTAAATATGCACGGGGGGAGGGAGGGGAAAATGAGGACAATGAAGGATGGGAAACATCCGATGCAGCAGCTGCTGGTTGCTATAGAAACCCAGATCCCCACCAGCAGCAGCATCACCCCACCCACCCTCCACTCTGGGTGCAGACTCCCAGTAGCACAGGGCTATGTGGGTCCTGGGGTGCTGGCAGCCAGGACCACAGGATTCAGGCTGACCAGGGCTTGGTCACTTGTGTACCTGTGGGCTGCTAACACTGCTTTGATGGCTTTCCTGGTTTTTCCCCCTCTCAGTTTCCTCCCCATCCTCTGATCCACAGTGACATCCACAGTCGCTCTACACCCCAATCTCAGTTGCATACTAAATGTCCAGAGGGCTTTTACACTTGACACAGGGTGGGGGTGAGGGACTCAGTCAGCCCTTTTCCTTCCCTTCCCTTCCCTCCCCTCCCCTCCCTCCCCTTCTCTCCCCTCCCCTTCCCTTCCCTTCCCTTCCCTTCCTGTTTTTCCCCCCATGGTGCCTCTCTCCCTGGCACCCAGAGGAAGAGGGCTGCTGGTATCCCTGGGATCAGCCGGGAGAACTCCCAACAAGAGGTAGCTAGACCATGGGATGACCTAGATGACCCAGGAGTAAGCCCACAAGGGGTCACAGAGGAAAGTAACCAGCCTGATCACAAGGATAAATCAAGGCTTTGGCTGACGGTGCTGCCTTCTGCGTCATACTGTCTCACCAAAAAAGTTAGCGCTGTGTTACGTGAAGTGTTTTTCTTTCCTACCTGGATCAGCAGAATGTGATTTTTAGGGCTTCACACTTGGCAAAAAGGCTGCTGGTGCTGGTCCAGGGCACTGGAGAGAAGAGGAGAGAGGAGAGAGAGATGGGGAGGCGGAGGAAGGAAGAGAGGAGTAATTAGGAGGATTGTAGTTAGACCAAAATTCATTCAGAAGAGCCCAGATTGATGAAGTTATTTAAAGCCATATTGAAGAAATAACTGTGACGGGCTGGTGAGCTGGTTACATGAGTAAGAGCGCTTGCTGCCAAGCCTGGCAACTTGAGCCCAGCCCCCAGAACACACATGGTGGAAGGAGAGAACTGACTCCCACAATGCGTCCTTTGATCTGCACACACACATGCACACGGACATACACACACGCACATGCGTGCGTGCGCGCACGTGTACACACACACACACACGCACATGCACACACACGCGCGCGCGCAAGCACACTCACACACACACACACAAATCAATAAATATTTATTCAAAAGAAGCCCAGAGAAACTTTTCAAAGATACTCTCTAGAACATCAAACTTGTCATCTGCAGTTTTGCAGCCTCTGAGGAGAAAAGGGCCTTTGGCTTTCATCCTCACGCTCAGAACGGAATTTATGGACCAGGGAGGTGCTCTCAGGAAGGCGCTTGTCCGAGTTCACTTCCCAGAACCCATAAACAAGGAGCAATGGACTCTGCTCACTAGTAATCCCAGCTCCAGAGAGGTGAAGACAGGCAGAGCCCTGGGGCTCACCGACCAACCAGCCTAGACGACATAGTGAATCCCAGGCCAGCAAGACACTCTCTCAAAAAACAAAACAAACAAAAAAAGATGTGAACTGAGGGGCAGTACCCAAGGCTGTCCTCTGGTCACACACACACACACACACACACACACACACACACACACACATCACCCCTAAGTGGTGCTCAGGGCATACAGGAAGCATCACAGAGCATTCCTTATAGGGTAAGTCACAACTTGAGTTCTTACTGTTGGGATGGTGGGGGGATTGGGAGTCTGCCCCAGGGAAAGGGCTGCAGACCTTTATTTTTTTTCTTATTTATTTATTTATTAAAAATTTCCACCTCCTCCCCGCCTCCCTTTTCCCTCCCCCTCCCCACCTCCCCCTCCCTCTCTAGTCTTAAGAGCAGTCAGGGTTCCCTGCCCCATGGGAAGTCCAAGGTCCTCCCCTCTCCATCCAGGTCAATAAAGGTGAGCATCCAAACAAACCAGGCTTCCACAAAGTCAGTCCATGCAGTAGACTCAAAACCCAGTGCCATTGTCCTTGGCTTCTCAGTCAGCCTTCATTGCCAGCCACATTCAGAGTGTCCAGTTTGATCACATGATCCATTACTCCCAGTCCAGATGACCTTGGTGAGGTCCCATTAGATCAGTCCCACCGTCTCAATGGGTGAACGCACCCTCGTGATCCTGACTTCCTTGCTCATGTTCTCCCTCCTTCTGCTCCTCATTTAGACCTTGGGAGCTAAGTACAGGGCTGCAGACCTCTGTAAGACCCAGACTTAGGGTGTAGGGTTCGTCCTAGAGCCCACCAGGCTGGTAGGCCCATCCTCTGGTTTCACATCACCCCCCTACCCCTACCCCGACCTCATCCTTCCTGGAGAAGCTCTGTCACCTCGGGCTAATAGCGGAGCCCAAGTGTGGCCCCAGGCTAATAGCGGAGCCCAAGTGTGGCCCCAGGCTGTCTGATCTCTTCTGTTCTCAGTGAGCAGGGTCCTCTGCTGCCACCAGCCACTCCCCAACCCAAGGCCACCTCTCCCCTTAAATCAGCTGTCATCAGCTCAGAGTCAAGGTTCACTGGAGGAACCTGCACAGAGACGACCACTGTGCTGTAGACAAGTACAATAGCAGCGGCCAAGTGAGTGTCCCACTGCCGGTCTACTCTGCCTCCCTGACACCCAGGGGTGACAGTGAGGCGAGGACAGTGGCACCGCAGTCAACACAGACTGTGTTGGAAGGAAGGCTGAGTCAGAACCCCCAAATCCCCGCCCAGTGACTGACTGTGGTCCAGGCCAATCACGTCACTACACGTTTGCTTCCTCCCCTAAGACAAACGCTGGTGCTAGCAATTCCAAGGGCTTTGTTTGGCTCAATGTAGACGGAAGGTTAGGTGTCAGAACACCAAGTTCTGGTGCAGTGACTGAGTGCAGCCCAGGCTGATGACGTCACTGCACATTTGCTTCTTCCACTGAAAAAGAGACTAGCAATTTTAGGAGTCACTGGGCAACGAGCGAGGATGTTTTGCAGACTCCTACCAAGGGTAGACAATGAGAGGACCCCTCCACACCGTGTGAGCACTTTCCACAGGCTGCCGTTTGATACAGCCAAAATATACCGAAGTACCCTGCACATCTAAGACTCAGGGGGTTAAGCGATGCCCAAGACGGCACAGTTAATAAGTAGAAAAACCCAATGGAGACACCGATTTCATTCAGTCTGGCGCTAAAGCCTAATTCCTTATCAGGTGTGGTAGCATCTACTACAATCCATTGGTTCAGGACAGAGGCGGGAAAGTCCTGAGCTTGAAACCAGCCTGGAATACATAGTGACCACAGTGGAAAAGAATTGCCCTCTCTACTTGTCCGTGTGCTGTGTGCGGCTAAAAGCCTTGCCTATTGGCGGTGACGCACATAAGAGGCCACACCACCTCATCCCTGGTTTTCCCCTACTGTCTTGGCTCATGATAGCTCCAGGCAGACCACCTGCCAATCAGAGCTGCCTCAGTCAGTGAAGTAACAGGCTCTGTCTGGTTGTGTCTCCAGAAAACAGGTTTTTCATCACCTCACACGGTGGGCTCTACATCTCAGACGTGCAGAAGGAAGACGCTCTCTCCACCTACCGCTGCATTACTAAGCACAAATACAGTGGGGAGACTCGTCAGAGCAACGGGGCTCGGCTCTCTGTGACAGGTAGGTTGCTTGCTGGGGTACACTGACCCTCCACAGATACAGGACGCCTTCTGTATCTGCTTTGAGAAAGAGAGTAATGATCGTGGACATAGGTACCACTCGGCAAGCCTTCACCCAGCTTGGGTCAAGTAGCCTCGATGTGAGAGCTTTTCTAGAGGCATCTTCGGTCCAGGAGCCACTGTCAGGCCACACCTGGCTCTCTTGAAGGATTGAAAGGTTTCCATGTGTCTGATGGTTCTCAAGCACGCCTCGTTATCCTCTCCAGTCCCTCTGCCACTGCCACCACTTCCGCTTTTTGCCATTGTCAGGAAACTCATTGTTTAAATCTGTAGTATTTTAGAGCTGTAGTACTCAGGAGGGTTTTTCATGTCCTGGTGTCTCTAAGTATTCCTAAAGATTCTGGAGTTCTTGTTGTTGTTGTTGTTGTTGTTGTTGTTGTTGTGTGTGTGTATGTCTGTGTGTATAAACTTTGTTGGAGGCCACCTCACAGCACTGGAGAGTAGGTAGAATATAAATGATAAATGTTTCTAGGAGGTTCTTGTTCTGGAGTGATTGTGGTGTCTGAGGAGAGGTGAATGGTGTGTGTTGTGCCCTAAGTATCAGGTAGCTCTCCATGAGCTACCTGGTCAGCATCCACAGCCCTGTGAGGTGTGTGGAATGCTCTGTATTTCTCACAGGAATCGATTGGCCTGCCTGAAATAAGGAGCCAGTGGGATGCCCAGTCAGAATTCACACTCTGGGCCCTCTGGCTGTAGCACCTTTCTGTTGGAGGCAGGGAGGGTCAGCAGAACACCCACACACCGCCTCTGGCAAAGAGAGGTAAAGGTATAAGGCTCCAAATTTTTGGCATCCATCCACAGATGTTCTTCCATCACCTGTACAATGCATTCTGGGATTTTCCCCACATGGTCACCACAGTCTCTGATACCTCCTTTGGGGTGGAGTGTAGGTTCTTTTAGAGACGGGCTGACCTGAAACATTCAGTGATCCTCTTTCCTCAGCTTCCCAAGTCCTAGGATCACAAGCATGTGTGACCACACCAAGTTTCTGATACTTTCTGCCCTGTGGGTTTTGTTATTCATTGGGTTTGGTTTGGTTTTTGCCTTCTTGTTTTCTGAGACTGAGTCTCATGAACTCTAAGTCTTCGGACTGGCCTGAGAATGTCGTTGAACTTCTGATCGCCTGCCTCCACCTCCTGAGCACTGGGGTTGTAAATGTGCCATCACTCCAGGTCTCTGCTGTATTGAGGGTCAAGCCCAGGACTTCATGCACGCTAGGCAAGCACACTCCCAACTCTACATTCTCAGCATCCAGTGTTTTCTATTGTATTCCACGCTATTTTGATTTTTCTCAGCGCTGGTTCCAACCCACAGAATGGCTATCACAACCTCCTGAGGGTTTTTGACCTACAGTTTAAGCATCCTTGCCTTGAGGAGGTGGTGGAATGTCTTTTAGAGAGAAGATAAACTGATACAACTTCACTTTGGTGGGGGGGACTAAAACCACGAGGTAATGCCCCACTCCAGGCCTTACGCAGGCCCTCTGTCTGCTTCTGTCATCTGTGACTTGCAGAGGCCAGCCCTCATCAACAGGTGACTCCCCAGGACCCATCTCATCTACCCAGAATAGCTGAAAGCAAGAAAAAGAGAACAGGAATCAGGAGACAAGAACCAGGCTCCCCACTTTGACCCTCGTGTCTCTGGTGCCTGGTTCTGTGTGTGGCACACAATAGGTACCAAGTAAACATTTGTGGCATTATGAACGCCAATGGAAATTGTGCTTCTGCATGAGCAGATGACACTGGGCCAGAGCACGGACCGTGTGTGGTAGGACTTCTGAATCTGCAGCCAATTCAGAGTGTGCTGCATTGGAGTGGTTCGCTTCCAAATTACAGGGCCTTGTTTGCATGGTGTTTTGCATCTCATTTGCATGCTTCTCATACAGTTTCTGGGGCGGGAGGCCTGAAACCTCTTGCTAGCCTGCTCACCTCCACCAAGTCCTCCATTCTCTGCTCTGATGATTAAACCTCCCCCTTTGGGGGTGAGGTGTGAGAATTAGGCAGGGTTTCCCCAATAGAACAGATTCCAGAAGCTGAAGGCTATACCAGCTTTTCTCTTTCTCATCCTACACCATCATGGTGGGTAAAAGGCATGGTGGGAGAACAGTAAGAGAGATACCACACTCCCAAGGACTCAAAAATAAAACCCTGCCTTAGGGAACAATGGTCCGATACAGAGGTCAACCCGGGAGAGGAGCTTGGGCACTGAGGGAATGGTGACCGGTAGAGGAGACCTGAACCTGGACCCAGACCAGAGAAACACAAAGACAAAGGGAAGTGAAGGAAAGGAAAGAAGATGCTGGAGGGAAGGGAACAGTAAGGAGAGGAAGGGAGGCCGTGCAGTGACGCGGGGCCCTGATGTGATCGGGTGTGACAAGGCAGCTTGTGTGCAAGCTGCTTGTCTCTGTAAAACGGCAAGTGAGATAAGAGGGAAGCCAGGAATGGCATCGGGAGAGCTCCAACCTCTAGGCTCACCAGCTCCTTGTCCCCACGCACCTCCTATTCCCAGCCTGTCCCAAGGAAGAACCTGCTCCATGCCTCTAAGGCCAGGGAAAGGATTCCCCACCTCCAAAGGTGGGCCTGCCCCTTGGGCTGGAAATGGCACAAGAGGCTCCTTGTAAGCCGTGCCACCAAGCATCCAATCACGTCTCCAACCTCCTCTCGCTGGTCTGAGAACCAAGAATGGCAAATGCAATTAGCTGGGCGGTCATAAGGAGGTCGCAGGATACAGCATGCGGAGTTCAGTGGTACCTGATGCTGGGGAAGTCTCCAGAAGCTGCAGCTTAGCAGAGAGATCTTACCTTGCTATTCCTGCACTGTCTCACCCCATTCCCATCACATTCCAAGACAAGGGCAGTTACAGAAAGAGTCTAAATCTCCCCTAAATCCTTCCAGATAACACCTGCCCCACATGACTTAGGGCTTTCTAGAGAGTTCCCTCCCACAAGCACTCAAAGGAATACCAGTATCCCAGACTCGGTATAGGCTTCACCATGAGACAGAGACTGAGGACCAGACAAGATGTGAAACCAGCTTCCCCTCCCCCAGCACATGCAGGACAGTCATGGAGCAGACAGCACTTACCCTGGTTCCAGACTTAGCCCAGACATCACAGGACATCCCAGCAGCCTGGCCTGGGACCCCCACAACCTCAGGCAGGGCTGTCTGTCTTTTCCCAATCCCGTGCCCATGTTGGTAGCACCCAGTCCCCCGGGATGTCACGTGTACACACCACAGCCCTTTACTTCTCTGCTCCCCGGTAATGAAAGAGGCTTCTTTCCCCTACCACCCCCCGGAATTTAATTTCACGCCTTGGCCTCAGTGATTAATTCTCTCCCCCCTACCCCGCCCCTCCTCCACCACCCCGGCAGCCCCTCCGCTTGTAAATTCTGCCCTGTGCCATGGAATTTGTGTATTTCACATCAATTAAGTGTCACATTGAGTAATTCTTCTCTGGCGCTGGCTCTGTTGATCCCAACCAATCAACCATTCCCCCTGGGGTGGGGGAGGGGAAAGGACAGCAAGTCTGTCACAGAGAAAGGATGAGCATCAAATGGCAATCACCGGATGCATCTGTACCCCCTGTAGACACAGGGAGATGAGGCACTGTAGTGTGCATCCTGCCATGTGTTGCCTAGGAAAGTAATATCAGATGTGGAGGCACCACAGTCACGGCCACTGTGTACAGAGAAGACACCCATTGCAGAAGTCATGAGACTCACCCAAAGTCTCCGGGCGGACTAGAGAGCACACAGAACCGGCACTTGGACCTCCTGAGTCCTAGCCATGAGCAGAGACAAAGATAGCCTTCTGGAAAGTCCTTCTCCCAGAGAGACTCCAGGTCCGACCCCTCCCAAGGGGCAAGAGCAAAGAACAGATGGCCCTACTGGTGAAGGGAGGTATGAGGGTCAGTAGCTGTCCTGTTCATGCAAACAAAATTCAGTATGTTAGATCATTCCATCAGTATGTGCCCCATCTGCTGAGCAAGGATAAGAACAGCCTGCCTTTGGGGCTGCACTCTGCCATGTGGTTCTGGGCTGGTCCCCACACTTCTCTGGTCTCAGCAACCTCATCTCTTTGAGTTCTCTGAAGTCACAATGCAGCTCGAGTCTATAAAGTTCTCAGTGTGGAGTTTATACAGAAAAGCCGGCTCACAGGCATACCTTCATTCCTTCGTGCCCCCCACACACACTCCACACACACCTGAGAAACGGAAGGTTCAACAGGCAGAAACCCTAATCCACACTGGACACAGGAGGAGCATCACAGGTCAACACTGCCTCAAAAAGCCTGGCTGTCTTCTGGGAAGATGGATGCCTGGCCTGCGGCAGCTACTATTAAAATAGACAGGTAGCTGCAGAGTTGGCCTCGAGGGACAGACAACAGGAGAAGGCCAGGGGCTGGGGGAGGCCACCTTTCCATCTACACTCTTTGGCTTTTCTGAAGCTTTGCACCTGCATATATTACCCGTTCAAAAAAAATAATTTTGCATGTTTTGTTTTTTAAAAAGGGAAAGGGACTGTTTGAAAAGGAAAGGGAAAGAAAGGAAACTCCATGGGAGTCCAGCGAGAGTGACAGCGGGTAGGGGGAGGTGTGTATGAGACGCCGCTGAGGCTGGCTTGTGAACAGTGAACCAGAGTGGGTTGTGTAGAGCAGACTGGCTGGATGTCTGGGTGACCCAGCTTGCCTCAGTGGGGAGTGTGGACAGGACAGGCTACAGCCAGGACTGGCTGGAGATGACTTTGAGAGTCAGTGTAAAAGCTGGAGCTGGTAGCTCATGCCTGTGAATCCCTGCATTCAAGAGGCTAGGAGAGGAGGATGGCCAAGCATTTAGGGGTAAGCCTGAACTGCTAAGCAGAAAGAAAAGATGGATGTGTTAGGGAAATACAACTCCATTGCTAAAGTGCCTATTTATCGCACAGGATGCCCTGGGTCTGATCTCAAGCACAGAATAAAGTGGACGTGGTGGCACACACTGACTCACAAGGTAAAGGCAAGATGACCAGAAATTCAAGATCATAGGATAGTAAGATGGCCTAGCAATAAAGGTGCCACCAATAGTGACAACCTGAGTGAGATTCCTCGGACCCACACCGCGGAAGGAGAGACTCAACTCCTCGAAGTTGTTCTCTGACTTCAACACATGACCCATGGCATGTACACACCTATGTGCTCAAAAGTGTGTGTGCGCGTGCGCACGCGTGCATCTACACACATACACACTGTAATAAATTTTTTTTGAAGTTCAAGGTCATCCGTGGTGATGTGAGTTTAAGGCCAACCTTGGCTAGGGACCATGCCTAAAAAAAGAAACAAATGGAGGTGTTCTATACAGGAGAATGGCTAGAGGACCCTTGACAGCAGAGACGGGACCCAAAGGGCAGAACCCCAGAAACAGCTGCCCATGAGGAGCTGGGCTGAGAGAGTAGACAGGACCACCCACAAATGACTTGGACATCTCAGCCTTAGGGCCTTGGGTCTTCTACCGCCTAGGGTCACAGTTCTCACAGGTGCTGGCTTCTCCTGGTTTTCTTCCCACACGGTTCTGGGCTCTGACATGAACTCTGAGCCTGCCCACATTATGAGCAGAAGGCAGAACAAGGGACTGAAGAGCTGACATAGCCACCAAAGGTTAGGCTCATAATCAAAACTTCAAGACAGGGCAGGGTGCCCTAACTGTTTACCTATTTTGAGGGGCGTCTCCAGTCTGGTTTGAGGTCCGCTGATAACTGCTAGATGTTGACACCACTATCATGTCCTGATACCAGGGTGAAGTCAGCCGTCATACATGTCGTCTTGTTCTTTCTGACCCTCAGACTTTGAACCCTGCCATGTCCTCAGCCAGCCACACAGCCTGGCTCACAAGCATGGTTCTCAGGGCTCAACCTGATCTAGGCACACACATGGAGGGCACATGCACTCCTCTGGAAATGCTGCCACCCTAGAAACTGCTCTCTATAAGAGTGGGGACGGGGCTTCTGTCTGGAGGCCTTGCTACCCTCTCCTCACTCCTATTTCCTCTGCCCAGGATGGCCTCAGTTACTGACCCTTTCTTCTTCCAGACCCTGCAGAGTCCATACCCACCATCCTGGATGGCTTCCACTCCCAGGAAGTGTGGACCGGCCACGCAGTAGAACTACCCTGCGCTGCCTCTGGCTACCCCATCCCTGCCATCCGCTGGCTCAAAGATGGCCGGCCCCTCCCTGCTGACAGCCGCTGGGCTAAGCGTATCACAGGGCTGACCATCAGTGACCTGCGCACTGAGGACAGTGGCACCTACATCTGTGAGGTCACCAACACCTTTGGGTCGGCAGAGGCCAACGGCATCCTCACAGTCATCGGTGAGTCAGGAGCCTTCTGTGGCCCTAGGAATGTTTGGGAGTGCTGGCCTTGGTGCAATGGAGTACCACGATCATACAGGCCCTGCTCCTGCCTCCTGCTGCCCCAAGAGAAGCTCCTAGGTTATGGCTTGGAGAGGCCACTGGTGTGAAACCAGCCCTCCCTTTCAGTCCCGACATCAGCAGCAGTACCCGTGACCTCCAGTCACCTGGTCTCTCCAGGAATCAAGCAGGCTATGGGGGTCTTGTGGGGAGTTTGTGAAGAAGGAGATCTCCTGGGCTTGTTAGGGGAAGGCTGTGTCTGGCTAAGGGAGTCAATACTGATGTTAGTCTACAAGGTGGAACTGTGTCTCCATCTAGGGTGACAGTCCAAGATTTTAAGAATAATGGGCAAGGGTCCTGATTCATCAGACCAGTCACTGAGCAGAGGTGGCCACGTCAGCTGTACCTGGAGCTGCCATGGATATGGAGTTTGCTCTGTCCCTGTTCTTCTTGGCATAGAGCCCTGGGGTCCAGGAAGCTATGAAAAACAGGAAGGCCTTGTAGACTTCTTTTATGAGCCCCAGAAGGCAGGCAGAGGCAGTGAAGGCAGGGGCGCGGATGCCATGGAAGTACCCTAGGTCTTCTCTCAGCGCCGTCCATTCTGACTCTTCACCTGGCCCATATCCAGAAGATGCCGAGGCTCCTTTGAGCCTGAGTTTTCTGGCAGCCAAGGAGCTGGGATCTGGGACCCCTGAGGACCCCTCTAGGTGTCAGGCAGCATTAGCCTGAGCCCTTGAACATTGTCCTCAACAGCATGACAGTTCCCTGAGGCCATTTCAGCTTGACAAGGCAGGAGCTACCTAGGGTGACTCTACTCCATCCTCGGCAGAGTCCACGATGCCATAAAGGTTGGCCATCCCTCAGCCTCTCGCCACCTTCTCACGAGACCCTCAGTGCGCTGCAGACACTGCAGAGCTCCTGCTGGCCTTCCAGCCTCGCCTCTGACTCCCTAGCCAGGTCAGGGCTCGACATCCTCCCACAGCCCAGAAAGCCTTAACAGTTCATGTGCATTTACCCATGACGTAGAGTGGAGGTTGTCCCCTACATGGAGTCACAGTGACAGTAGCACAGAAGGGCCTCCCAAGAACTGCCCCAGGGCAGCGAGGAGGCAAGCGCTTAGAAAAGGAAACTAGGGAACCATTGCTCACGAGCAAGCCCTGGATGGACAGAAGGATCGTAACAGTACCTCCCCTCTTGTTCTCAGCACTGTCCAAAATGTCTCATCTAATCCAGGTGCATACCTGTGAGGAGGATTAGGAGCTCGAGGCTAGGAAAGCTTACAGGCTATGTCACATCCTGTCTCAAAAGTCAAAATAACGCATGCGTGCACACACACAAAGAGAGAGGAGAGAGGAAAAAAAATAAGCCAGGAGGTCACACCTATTACAAGTCCTTAAAATATCAGCATGATGACTGTAGGCAAAGTTGTGGCGTTCACACCTTCCCCAGTACACATCAGTAAGCAGGTACACTCACAATCACAGGCACGAGCATCCAAAATCCACCCACCCATTTCCCCAAATTCCCATACAGTTGTGGGGTCCACACACCTGTACCAGTACACACTTCCCCACACTATTCCACACTCCTCAGGTCAACTACAGGCCACCATCTGCACACTGTCCACATGTCCACACCCACAGTGCACACACACACACACACACACACACACACACACACAGGCTTGCTGGCGGCTCGGGTTCAAGAGGAAGTGGTCCAACCTTCTCTCATCCCCGTAGGTCTAATATTCCTTCCTAAAACGTCCCCAGCTTCCTACACTCTTGTAGCCTGAACTCCTGCTCAGGAGCGCTCAGGAGCAAAAACCAGTGAGGGAAGCCAACTTGGGGCTGCCACCAGTACACCATCCATCCAGTCAATGATACTCATAGTCCGGGTCCTGGTGGGGACATAATGCCCAGGATGCCTTTGCTTCCAGGTGGCCCACCATCCAAGGGATGAGAAAAAGGGTAATGCTAGACAGATTGCTAGGTACGGCATTGATGATTCCCTGGGGGGGGGGGGGGATATGAGAAGGTCTTAAAGTGGGAGGAGAAGTGAAATCCAGGAAGAGTCACTAGAAGTGACCAGAGGTCAACAAGAATTAGGCAGAGCATTCTAGGCCTAGAGCTTAGATTCTGCAACCAAACCATTCCAGGGAATGCCACATACAGGTCATTGATGTCCTAGATGTGTCACCTTAGTGACAACAGATGGGGGCAGGTACCTTGGGCCCCTGAGGGCTTTGGATTTCATGCTGAGTTTGGGGGATCCATGAATGTGCTGAGCAGGAGACGACTGCAGCAAAGATGATGGTGGGTAGAGGGAAAGGAGGTGATGAAGACCCAGACATGTGAAGGATATCCAGCTAGCTGAAAGCAGGGCTGGTGGCCTGCATGGGGGTGAGAGGTAGCTGGCAGGAAGGAGAGTGCCTTCTGGTTTCTGGACACCTGCCATATAAGTCGAGGTTCCAGGTTTCTGGGTGAGCTAAGGGGGCCATGAAGCTCTGCCTAAGTGGAGGAACCCACCTTAGGGAAGTAGAGGTCATCAGAACAAGACTTTCAGCAGAAAATCCTGGCTTGTATCTACACATGCCTCATAGGTAAACTGAGACCCAGAGCAGATTTCCTAGTCCCAGATCTCACACGGGTACGTTTGCGGAGCTGGGCGCTGACCTCTGTCCATCCGGGCACATACCATCACAGTAAACTCTCTGTATCCCTTTCCTCTCCTCCCACCTCCCTTGACGTCTTCACCTCTTCCCAACCTGGCCACTCAGACCCCCTTCATGTGACCCTGACACCAAAGAAGCTGAAGACGGGCATCGGTAGCACGGTCATCCTGTCCTGCGCCCTCACAGGCTCCCCAGAGTTCACCATCCGCTGGTACCGCAACACTGAACTGGTGCTGCCGGGGGAGGCCATCTCCATCCGTGGGCTCAGCAATGAAACTCTGCTCATCTCCTCGGCTCAGAAGAGCCACTCGGGAGCCTACCAGTGCTTTGCCACCCGCAAGGCCCAGACAGCCCAGGACTTTGCCATCATTGTGCTAGAAGGTGAGTGGATGTGTGCGGCAGGGCAGAGCGGGGTTGTAGTTCCTGAGAGGTGTTGCCCCGTGCTGGGAGGCTTCTGTCCAGTGCTCAGTGCACACATGGCAGACACCATGCCCTCATATTAGGTTTGCAAGAGCCCTGTGTGGAGGTCCTTTTTAGTGTACCCTACTTTTGAAGTTGAGGAAGTCGAGGCTTTGGCCACATGTCCGGTGAACAAGGGTTTTTAACAATACTATTATATACTACTTTTGCCCTCAACAGTTACTAGCGCTTTCTTAGTAGAGAGATTTCTTTAGAGTCTTGGAGGTTCTGGTTTTTCCAGAGGCTGTGGTGCCAGAAGCCTCTGAACTTTGGAATCCTTTCCAACCTGAGGCCTCTTCTCAACAGGCTGTTTCTAAGCAGGGGTCTCCGTTTCCATCCTGTTCTCTCTCCTCTTACAGCTGCCACCACCCAGGGTCCCTCACACGGCACCTCTGTGCATGCTTGTCCACGCTGTGCACAGGGCAAGATGCTTGGCCAAAAACGAGACCCAGATCAAGCTTACATTCCACTCGCCCAGTCATGAACCCCAGCACCAGGCTGAGGCCACAGAGGAGATGCCTCTTGCTCATTAGTGCAAAGGGACCTTCAGGGCTGGTAGGAACCCCACCTTCCAACAAGTTAGGTTTAGGGTGTCCCCAGCTGGTCTTTTCTACTACAAAAAGCCGCACACAGCAACAGGCACACACCACTTCTGTCTTAACGAATATACCAACCTCAGGCCTTCAGGGGTGGGTCTTCCCTGGTCTCACTGCAGGGCCTTTGGGGCCTCATAGCTGGCAGCCACTGAACACTGAACCTAAGACCTTGTGCCTCCCCCTACTCACAGGGCTGTGCACAACAAGCCCCAATGCTTGCTCAACCAGCACCTCACCACTCTTCCCAGCAAATACGCCATCCCAGTGCAGGCTCCCTTGAAATGGATATCCATCATCTCAGGGGCCTTCCACTTAGGATCACCCCACTCGCTAGCTCATTTTTTCACTCGGAGGGGCCAACCTTTTGCCTTCGGTGGAATTCTGGCACCTTCGAAGGTGGCCCTGGAGAGCAGAGACTTGGAAAATGAAGCTGGGAGTGGAAAACAGAAAGGTAGGGCCAGCACAGAGAGGGAAGAAAGGAGAAGGAAGGGCCAACGGCCACGTGACACTGCCATATCCTCCCAAGCCCAGGAAAGCATCAGGTGCTCCCCAAGTCTAGCTAGATGTCTCTCCCATCCGAAGGTAGGGACAGGGCTGGCAGGCTGGCCAGGTCTCTGGTAAACATTGGCATTTTGATGTGTAACATTGAAGAGTATCAATAACACTATGACATCTGCCTTGCTATTTATTTATTTGTTTATTTATTTTAAACATCTACTTTTATTATCTTATCTTTTTAATTTGGTTGTTTGTTTATTTTTTTTTCCAAGACAAGGTCTCACTATGTAGACCAGGCTGGTCTTGAACCGGTAGCAATCCTCCAGGCCAGCCTTGCAAGGGCTGAGACTGCCTGCAAGCACAACTCCTCCAGACATATTTTTTCTTTTAAATTGACATACGTAAGCATACATATTCATGGGGTACCGTGTGCTTAATGTCTTTTTAATCCCTGACACAAATCCTGTGGGGAAGGATGATCAGGGTGGGAACTCCACCCCCACATTCCACAGTAGGAAAGGGGTAGTGAAATTAATTGTCTCATCCTAGATTATGTGGCTAGCCAAGGCTTAAGGCTGGTGCCAGACTCCCATCACCTCCACTATCTCTGGGAAACTTGCATTTTAAACCTCAAACATAAAGTCTTTTGTTAATAGGGCTAAATGTCACTACTACTCCTCGTCCTTGGCATGGTCAAGTACAAAAACTGCACGCAGACTCCACCCACACATGCCTTCATGCACAGTGCCTTCTGAGCCTTGCAGTCTTTATTAATAAATAGAGGAATGTCTTGAATGTAGTAATTAATCTACTCTTCACCATGTCCAGAAGAAGTGGGAGTAATTGTCAACACCGCTATTCCCATCACCCACCAACAAAACAACCTGCTCAAAGACACTATTCTTGCCTCTCACCCCATGGTAGTAACTGCACCTCATGGGTTCGTGTATGGCACAAACCCACACGTGACAGCCCTTTGTCTTTATCCTGGCTGCCACTCTGCCTCCTTCCAGCCACTGGGTGGGTGGCCTGGGAGGTTAGTCTCTCTGTGACTCGTGACCCTGAAGGGGGCTCCTCGCTCCCTGCAGACGGCACGCCCCGCATCGTCTCATCCTTCAGCGAGAAGGTGGTCAACCCCGGGGAGCAGTTCTCACTGATGTGTGCTGCCAAGGGCGCCCCGCCCCCCACGGTCACCTGGGCCCTGGACGACGAGCCCATCGTGCGGGATGGAAGCCACCGCACCAACCAGTACACCATGTCCGACGGCACCACCATCAGCCACATGAACGTCACGGGCCCCCAGATCCGGGATGGGGGCGTGTACCGGTGCACAGCGCGGAACTCGGTGGGCAGTGCTGAATATCAGGCGCGAATAAACGTAAGAGGTGCCTGTCCACATTTAAATATCAGAATAGGCTTTTGAGTTCCTTTGCCATCTTTGTAGTCACCATCATTCTTGTATTCTTGTGTGCTTCTTAATAATTGTCATTTTGATTTTAGTGGAGGTTTCTCTCTCCTTTCTCTTCTCTCTCTCTCTCTCTCTCTCTCTCTCTCTCTCTCTCTCTCCTGTCCACCACAGTCCCATCAACCATTCTTGTGTGTGAGTGTGTGTCTGGTACAGTCCACCCCATTCTCCTCCCCCGCTTCACTCCGACAATCCAGCCTGACCATTCTATCCACCCCATCAAATCACTCTGGGCCCCCAGTGCTCTGTGCACCTGCTAGCATCTGCCAGCCCCCAGCAGGGTCTTGAAAGGGCAAAAACAGATAGAAGTAGGGCATACTCAACCTTAATACTAGTGAACTCCTGGCGTGCTCTACAGAGCCAGGCCTGCTCCAGGGGCTGTAGACAGCCAGGGGCCTGGAGATCATGTTCTCAAGTGCGAGGCTCAAGCCTTCAGGAAGAGAAGATTGAAACTGAGGCCAGAGTTGGGTGACTCCCAGAGATAGGGGCAACGTGGAGGAGTAGAAGAGTCCCCAGGGTGCCAGCCACCCCTTCTCTCAGTTCTCTAAGTTCACATGGTGATAGCCGTCTCCTCTGATGCCCTTAGCTCTCTCAGTCCGACTGGTCCTCTCTGGACCGTATCAGTGACATCTAACCCAAGGGCCAGAAGACAGAGAAACTGTCATAATGGACACCGGTCCAGGGGTGCTGCCAGTTCACCTGAGGCAGGGAAGGGGGTGCAAATGGAGATCATTCTAAACTCACTTATTCTAGCTCTCCTGTCCCACATAACAAGTCGAAGGCCATCGTTCAGCCAAGCCCCTGTATCCCTGTCTGAACTGGAGCAGGAACAGATCCAGAGCCCTGGGAGACTTTCTAGTTCTGTCCTCTCTAGTTCTGTCCCAGAGTTCCCCAACGCTCTTCAGGACTGTCCCTTCATGATGACCTCTACGCTTCCTTCTCCCACTCCCACGAGGCTACCTGGCAGTCACTCCAGATGAGAATGCTCCTCCCACCCCCAGCCAATGTGATCCAGAACCCAGATTTGTAGCCCTTTCTCAGGTACCCACAACACAACTCCCCTGACTGGAAGAAACAACATGTAGGTTCTTACGGCCAAGACCTTCTTGCTTCCCTCTGGATAGTTATTACTAAATGGGAGGTTCTTTGAGGTACGAATGCAGTGTGAGCAGGCAGAGAAAATGCATGAGGTCTCTGCTTCACTATTGACACCCCAATCCTAGTTTCTCCCTAAATAAGGATTCACCTGACCCAGTCCTGGTGGTCCCCTGTAGCGGCTGTGGATTGGCTTCATTCAGCCCCATAAGGCACTGGATTCTTATAATAGACATGTGTGACTCATGCCTGTTTGCAACTATTTCACGATGACAACAGTGAGCTCTGGGGTCACTTGGGTGACCCCAATCCTGGCAATCTCTGAACATAGCTGAGAGAGAGTCCTCCCTCTGCCCTCACCCAGTTTCTAGCCCCAGGGGTAAGGCTCAGGGACCAAGCAAGAGAGAAGAGCCCCACCACAAAATGGCACTGGCTCATGGCGCCACCTGCCCCTCCTCTCCACTTTCCCCCAAACTCCCCAGGACCCCCCAGCATCCGGGCAATGAGGAACATCACCGCCGTCGCTGGGCGGGACACACTCATCAACTGCAGGGTCATCGGCTACCCCTACTACTCCATCAAATGGTACAAGGACGCCCTGCTGCTGCCGGATAACCACCGCCAGGTGGTGTTTGAGAACGGGACTCTCAAGCTGACCGACGTGCAGAAAGGCATGGATGAGGGAGAGTACCTGTGCAGTGTTCTTATCCAGCCGCAGCTTTCCATCAGCCAGAGCGTCCATGTTGCCGTCAAAGGTAAGGCCCTCCCCGCCTGGAGTCGTTGCCTGCCTGCCTCCCGGGGTTGTTGGTGCAGGTGTCCAGCAGAAGGCAATCGCCAGTGAGTAGAATTGGGAGAAAGGTGATGGATACAAGGCTAAAAGTTGCAGGAAGGAAAAAACAAAACAAACCAGCACTGACCCCAGGAGTTTGAAAGCTCAGTTGTACACAGGGAAGGCTGCATGTTTTCTGGGCAAGGGTTCAGCTAAGAGATGATGGTCCTCCCCTGGGTGACTGATGTCAGGAAAGAGCCACAAGGTACTCAGTAGGGCCGCCCTGAAGAGCAGCAGCAGGAGACCAGGGTAGAGGAAACACACTAACCACCCTGGCTCCATCCTGGGCCCAGCATGAGCACTTCCAGCACTTCCATGGTGACATGGGGAAAGACTATCTGCTAGCTCTCTGAGACCTGGAGCTCCGTCACCAACCTTCTCAAAGCTCTCTTGTTCACCTGCTGGGAGACTGGAGCAGGGTTCTGGGTGGGGGCTATGTGTCTGTGGTACCCCTCAGAGGCCATCCTCTAAGTCTGCAGGGTCACTGATTTTAAAGGAACGGTTCAGAGGCTTCTGCTCCCTTGGCTCTGGGATGGTGTAAAATATGGAACCCCAAATACATCCTCTGGGATTCACAGACATAACAAATATCTAGAGAGCGCCCGGGATGAGGGTCCTGTGAGTTCTAGGAACAGAGAAAGTAGATTCTGTTGGGCCTGACCAGGAAATACCAGAGGAGGATGCAGGCCTGAGGAGGACAGTCTGGGAACCTAGAATCGGCTCCAGCTTCCTCCTCAAGAACAGAGGAGACCTGTGGTGTTTGGAGGGCCACAGAGGACGACAATGCCCTTGAGACCAAGGAGGGGCCCCTGTAAGGAGGGGCATCCCTTCTACAGATATCATTACCTCAGGAGAAATAGGTGAAACTGGAAAGACCTCTTCCCAATACCCAGCAGAGAAGAGAGGGAGGGACAATTAACCAGGAAGGGAAAGCAAGGCAGAGGCCAGGGTCCGGGGGAGGAAGAAAGAACACAGCCCAGGACCAAGAAGGCCCAACACATGGGGAACCCTTGAAGGTCATGGACCTGGAGTCTTTTCAGTTCTGACACTGAAAGCAGTATTGCATGTGCCCAGGGGAAGGGCTGTCTGGAGGGAAAGTGTTTGGGGAAACACATGCTGTATTTGATGGTGGCCCCTCAATGTGTGATGACAGTGACCTCATGGATGGGAAGGCCCAGGAACCCAACAGTCGCAGTGAAAGGTGGGGGAAGCCCTCCTCCCTCTGCTTCTTATCTTTTTGTCATCTGACTCGCCCTGAGCAGTTCTCGGGGCTGGGTCACATGCATCCTGTGTACTCACCCTGCCACCTGTCACAGCGCCAGACAGCCCATGTTTGTTGAACTGAATCTGAGACATTAGTCTGGCTTGGAGTAACTTACAGGAAGCCACACTGTGAGTTCCAAGAAAAGGGGGCTTTTGTGGCTCTTTCAGGCCTGAGAAAGAGAGCTGGGATACACATTAGCAGCGTCATTCCCCTGCTTCAGGCTGCTGCAATGCCAGGGTGTTCCCTACATAATGCCCTTTCCTGGAAGCCCCTGGGCCCACGCGCTAGCACCGCAACCCCATTCCATACCTGGGAAAATGGACTTGGTAATGATGTGGCACAGCTCTGCCTGCCCGGCTTCCACCCCACTGGGCATCACGGAAGCCTGTATCCATTTCTGTTACAAGCAATGGGCCAAGAGCGTACAGTGTAAACATCACATATTAAAACATCTAACCTATGCTCTGCTCCCTGTGCCCAATGCTCCAGCAAGCATTTGGCCGGGTTTGTCAGCTAAAAGAAAAAAAACCAATAATAATAACAAGGCTCCAGCAAGCCTCAGAGTACTCAGAACATCCTGAAAGCTGCTCTCTGCTCATCAATTATTCAGCCCCATTCAGGGAGCGATCAGTCCTAATGAATTGAATCTGATGCATTCAGGCTCAGCGACTCACTGGGCCTATAGTGATAGTACAGCGTGACAATGTCTCCCAGTCCAAGGAGAGAGGTGGAGAGAACATGAACACGTGACTCTACGTGTGTGTATCTGTATTGTGTGTGCCTGTGTGTCTGTCTCTGTGTATCTGTTTTGTATGTGCCTGTGTATCTATATGTCTGTGTCTGACTGCTTATCTTGTGTATGTCTCTGTGTGTTTGTCTGTGTCTGTACATCTGTGTGTACACGAGTGTCTGTCTGTCTGTGCATGTGTGGATCTTTGTGTCTGTATTTCTGTCTGAGTACCTATGTCTGTGTGTCTGTGTGTATCTGACTATGTCTATCTGTGTGTCTGTCTGTGTATAATACAGGCTTGTGTGCAAACCTTCTTGCTCCCCCTCATCAGGGTCTGAAAAAAAATCCAATATGCAACCAGAGGAGGGGTAAGGTCTCCTGTTTCCTCTCCAGACCAGCCACTCCTATAAGGGCCTGGAAGCCAGTTCCCCCACCACTCTGAAAGCTTGGTTTCTCCACCCCCACCCTCTCGGCTCAGCTCCCCCACCTCATTAGAATGCACTTTTGCAGAAGAGCCCATCAAAGCTGATTATGATCACGCTGCTTGATTAGCGACTGTGCTCTTCCAAGAGCTCCCCAAGGAGGGGGGGAGGAGGAGGTGCCCCTGGGTATGGCAAGGGGCCCTGACTCTAGGGAGGAAGGAGTGGATGCAGGGGTAACACTCCAAACCCCATGGCTACTGGACATTGGAAAGTGCATCATGTCGGAGGCTCAGATTGGGACAAAGAGCAGAAAAGGGTGGGCCCTGGAAGCCTGCAATAGTATGTCAAGGCCCCTCCCCAATCCCCGCTTCTCTGTGGGGCCAAGACTGGTGGACCAGGTGCGGCCAAATCCATGCTGCTTTGTGAGCTGGAACAGTAACTGCTGACTCCAGTCCTTCCGGGGACTGCTGGTCTGCTAATGAAATTTTCAATCAGTGAGCCAAGATCAGAACATAGCCGACATGCAAACACGCATGTGTGCAGATATGTGTGGGGTATGCACACATATGTACAAACTACATGCACCATCAAGGGTCAAAAGTAGCACACTAGCCCACTCATTCTGGGGCAGATTCATGTACACGCATGTGAGCAGTTTTGTGTGCACAAATTCTTCCTCCTGCAACACAACATCCCTGACCCGTGAAAGGCAGCTGTGGGTGATTCTATGAAACATTGCTCAAGAGCTCCCGCCAGGCACAGTGAGGCAGGAGGAGCGGAAGAGGGAGGGGATGAGGGTGATCTGAGAACTTCCTGGGCTTGGTACGCACAGCACCGAAAGGCAAGGGGAACCAATCTCAGGGAGGCAGCCCTTGTCTCTGAACTTCTAGAAAGATCCCTGGCAGGATACTAAGAGGAGTGCACACAGATCCAACCTAGACTTGGGGACTTTGGGGGCCTCTGTACCTAAAAAATAAGGTGTCATGAAAAGATCTCTCGGTCCAAAGACTGAATGTTTCATTAACCAGGAGCAGGGCCTACAACCAGGACCTCTTGGCATGGTTCTGTGGGAAAATGTCTCCATCCTCACCTCTGAATCTCCAGGAGCCCCTGTAGGAAGAGTGAAGTCAGGAGGCATGCTCTGACTGGACTGAGGACACACCAAGTCCCCATAGAGCAAGCTAGCAGAAGAGGGGACTCGCCCCCACACAGACACTCTTCTCCTCAAATGCTCCTACTCCAAACCCACACACATATGTCTCTGTCTACTCAGTGCATAGCTTCAGCCATAGCTGGAGGAGGCTCCTATGGGAAGCCCTCTCCCACGCCCACGAGAGGCTGGGGATGGGAGGCTCTATGATCTGAAGACTTAGGCGACCCACCCACCCAAATGCCTGCTATTGGTGGAGATGGTTTGAAAGAAGCCCTGCCGATAGCCACAGGCAGGGGGGCACCATGAGCTCCACAGGAAGAGAATTGCCTAGTTCTACCATGACAACCTCTAGAAAAGGCTCTGCTGGCAGCCAAGTTTCCTTGGGAACATAGAGCAAGCAACCTCCTTCCGGGACAGATAGGGCTGGTGGGGGGGGGGGGGGCCGCCCGATAAGGATGGGGAGGCATCGACCCCATGTTTATTCACCCAGTGACTGGCCGTGCACCTACTGTGTTCCTGACATTCGTTTTGTTTCACCAACACGGATGTATTCAAAACACAAAACTCCCCACCCTCCAGCAGTAGACAGACAGTGTGTACAATGTGTAATTTTAAATCTAAATCAGGACTGGATAAGAACACCAAGAGGTGGGGAACTTGTGGTCAGGAAAAGCCTTCACAAGAAGGGATAGTCGTGATAAAAACTGAAGTAAATTGTGCTTATTTTTAAAAAAAAATAATTAGATTTATTGAAACATCTATGAAAGTAATTGGCCTACCTCCACCATATTGTGTGTGTGTGTGTGTGAGAGAGAGAGAGAGAGAGAGAGAGAGAGAGAGAGAAAGAGAGAGAGAGAGAGAGAGAGAGAGAGAGAAAGAGAGAGAGAGAGAGATACACTCTTATATGTATGGGCACATGTGCTGTGCATGCATGTGGAGGCCGGAAAAGGACATCAGGTGTTCTGCTCTTTCACCTTATTTCCTAGGACAGGACCTCTTGCTGAATCTGAGCTAGGCTCATGGTCACAGCCTCGTGATCTTCCCGAGTCTGCCCACAACAACACTGGGGTTGTGGACAAGTACCACCACACAGGACTCCCCACCCCCACTCCCACAGTTACTGAAATCCTCTCTCAAATCTTTTCATGTTTGTGTGGCAAGTACTCTTAGCCATCTCGCCAAATGAAACCCCTCCATTTTACAGGGGAAGAAGCCAAGGCTCATAGGAAGAGGCCAGGTGGTTGTGACAAGCCACTTGTCCATGGTCACTTGAGGGAGCAACAGAGTCTAGACTTCAGTTGTCCCAGCCCCAGACATATATCTTCCCTGTGTCGTGCTGTGTGGACAGAGAGGCTCTGCCTTCCCACAGTGCATACTCCGCTAGCAGGTGCAGTAAATAAAAGGCTCAGCCTCAAAGACAGATGATAAGAGACCCCATAAAGCATTTATGGGCTGGGCTGGTGGTCAGCACCGCGTGACACTTGCAAACAAGTGTCTATAAAGGCTTTACGGCGGCCAGATGCTGCATGGCGGCCACGATTTCTGCATCTTTGTCGAGACTCTGGCCTCTGGTCCCTACACTAGTGTGGTGTCTTACTCCAGGAAAGAAGTCGCTGGCTAGGTGACACTCCAGGCCAGCTACTGCAGAAGTGTAGGGACATGGGCACAAACTTGGAACTGCAGTTGACACTGATTAAAGCAGGTGGTCAGAGACAACCCCTCTCCCCAACTCCTAAAAATTGGTTCCCGGGTACAGGGGAAGATGGCACACAGCATCTGACCCTGAACTTAGAGACAATGTAGCTAAATGAAGGGTCTTCCTCTCTAGAAATCAGAAGCCTAAAAAAAATCATGGGTTTGTTTGTTTTGTTTTGTTTTTTATCAAATATCCCATGGCTACTGAGAATCCCTTGCCCACAGCACTCATCTTGGGGCTAACCAGCCTACACAGCAGCCAGGAACCCTAGGTTTTTTCCCTCCGCCAAGGCTATCTCTGACGGTTGTCTGAATGAGCAGCAGAGACCCTGCTCCAAGCTGCCCTGGTCCTTCTGCAGTCTGCAGAAGGATTGTGTGGCTTTTCCTTAGCAGAAACGAGCAAAGGTCTGCTCACCCCAGGTGGGGAACTAACTGGTCAAAGAAATCATTACACTCAAGTCTAGCTCAGTGAGGTGGTGGTTTATTGGGATATTTACAGAAGCACTAGGTAAGGGGTTACTTAGAGGAGCACCCACACCAGCAAAGCTGCACTCCTGAAGATCAGCAGGAGGGGTCTACTCTGTCCCTCAACTGTTGGCAGTTCTTAGCACCTGGGGGAGCGCCTCGTGAATCTTCTACGTTTCATGAGCTTCCCTGCTTTCATGAGTATCTGTCTGTCCTTCCTCTAGGAGAGACTATTTCAATGTAGGGTAAAGAGCTATAGGCAAGTAAGTGACAGAGCTTCTGCCACAGCGGCCTAACAGAACTTATGGTGGCTATGTTACGGAGAGCAACTGTTGTGCCGGACCTCTGAGGAGCTGACCGGTCATATGCCACATAGGACGTCAAAGAGCTCTGGACCATCCGACCTGTATGACTAACCCCCAGCAAGGGTGCCGGCTGCTGCTTTTCTGTGGTCTCTTCCACGCCATTCTACCGACTAGAAAGGAAGGACAGTCCTCAGTGGTCTCTGTGGCTCAGCCTGGTCCCCTTCCCTCATCATGTGTATTATTTTGTATGCATGTGTGTCAGCCCGAATGCCAGGGCTTCCTGAGGCTGTGGTCACTTCCTGAGGACACATGCCTCTGCTGAGTCCTGTGTCTGTGTCCAGGGGACACTGGCCCAGTAATCATAAAGGATGGTGTCTAACCTCTCCAAAGCCCTCCATCTACAGCTTAGGCAGGTTTTTGCTTCCCTTGTCCACACAGCGGCAATGCCTTCACGGGAAAGACATTTCATAAATATTCCATGAACTAGCTAGTTAATGAATTAACCTGCTTTAGAAACTTACACCGCTCTGTAAATCCTTCCTGACTGAGAGAGACGGTCTCCCCTGCTGAGCAAAAGTTCCTCACCCAGAGTCACTCTCTCTGCCTTGTTGTTCTGCCTCTCCTGGAAATGGACTCAGACTACCCAGGCCTTGGCCAAATGTCCTATCCTGCAGTTCACTGCTATCATAAAGCCCTCACATTCCAGAGGTTCCTCGGTCCTGGGAGCTGCATTAGTGCTACAACAGAAAACGCCTGGCCCTAGGAAGGGCCAAGGAGAAGCTCTGGACATAGTCACAGGACAGCAGCACGGGGAGAGATGTTGGGGCTCCGCTTAGTCTCTCTGGACCCTTACTCTATGTCTACCTCACCCCTGGTCCACCACACAGGAGACCCCATGAGGTCACCCTGAGAAGTGATATGCAGACATGTTACTTATTTACATATCTAATGAGCATTTATGGGGCACCTACAATATTTATGCAGTAAATGCTCCTATTACACAATCCTAGCTCCGAGCCTCAGGGATATGGTAGCAGTCAGGTTTGCACTGGATTCTTGAAACAATTGTGTCAAAAAAAAAAAAACAGAAGGAGGCCTAGAGGCCTAGGTGTGACCTACTCTTTCTCTGTCTCTGTCTCTCTGTCTCTCCTTCTCTCTCACATGTGTATACACACACACACACACACATACACACGCACGCACTCACGCACGCACACACACACGCACACACGCACGAGAGGGAGTTCACAATGACCTAAGGAGAGCAGTTTCTCTGGGAACTCTTACTAAAGGGCATTGGGCCATTGTTACAGCCTGAATTTCAGAGAAATGTATATAGAGATGCCCATGGCTTGGGACAACCACCCTCAGGACCAGGGATAATACCCCACCACCTCCAATAACAGAGATGTATTAATCTGACCAATGACCAGACCCCTAGGATATCTGGCTGAGGTCTAGGACCTGGCCAAAGCCAAAGTAGGTCTGGAATCAGATGGATGAATGCTGGTTAGAGGATGGGGAGCTCACAGCGGTGGGTGGGGGCATGCCTGGCAAGGCTCAGGCATGGAAAATCATGATGCTAGACCCCCTAGTTGGAGTGAAGGGCAGGGTGAGGTGTCATTTGAAGGCCATCTGAGCCCCTAATGGGAGTCATGGAAGCAGTACCCCTCCTAACTGCCACGTCCTCCAGACCAGCAGCTCTTGGTCAGGAAACACCACCACCCTACCCCACCCCAGATCCAGAGGATCTATGTACACGTCTGGCTGCTTCCTTCTGAACCCTGGAAGTCTGTGTGTCTGCAAGGCCTGCCTGTGCACACCGCTGTGGCTGTGTCTCTGGATAGGCCTGAGGTGGAATAGCATCACTGGCTTCCAAAGAGGGGTGGGCTGGAGCCTGGGAGAAGGCTGGAGACCGTGGGCAGCCTTGTAATTTAATTATTCGACTCCAGAAAGGAGACCTCATCTACTCATGCTCATCCTTGTTAAGCTAATTGTCTGTCTCCTTCACTCTCCTCTCCCCCCACCACCATGAGCTGGGGAAGTTGCTGCCGCCTAATTGAGTTATCATAAAGATAATGGCTGATGTTCTCGCCAGCACTGAGAGAGGAGGATCCATCTCACAGCGACTCAGGCTGCAGACAGGCCCCACCACCACCACCCAGAGCCCGAGATGAGGGCAGCTGGGTGCAGAGAGTTAGTTACTTCTACCCAAGGAGCCATCCGCGTGGCCGCCCGAGAGAGACTAGGTTCCGTTTTCTGTTTTAGCACACCTTGGGAGACAAAAGGGCCTGCCGTGTGTACATTTGTGGTTTTTCTCAAGAGGCAGCTATGCCGCTTAATGAAAAGAGCCTTGTCTTGGAAAGCAGATCAGGCTTCAAGTCACCTCCCATAGCCTATCTCAGTCGCGGTGCTTCTGAATCTCAATCTTTCCATCTGTAAAACGGTACCATCAAGCTCCAGGTCCACGGCTGGTAGAAGGATTCAATGAGATTCCTTTGCACACGTAAAGTTTCTACATGCTAATGGCCATGGAGAGGGGCAAGTTAATGAGACGATCTCGTCTGGAGACACCTGCTTTAGGAAGTGCTCATGGAGAGGGAAGGGCGAGAATCTACACAGGCCTTCTTCACCTCTCCCTGTGTAATTCATCTCTGTCTATCACAGGCCCCCAAAAGGCCAGGAGATGGGTGCGAAAATGAGAATTTATACACAAGCTAAGCAGTGCGTCAGGAAGCTCATGAGGCAAGCACAAGGCCCAACCTGAGAGCTGGGCAGGTTAAGACAGAGACCGGGAGCCGTGGCCTAGGTATGCAGGTGGACAAGATCCAGAGATCTGGGGAGATGGATTTCAGGCCTGCGCCACGATCACTGAAAGTCAGACTGCCCTCTCCAGACAGTGACCAGGGTGGGTGAGTGGCACTTGACCATAACATCCGCTTGTCCCTCCAGTGCCCCCTCTGATCCAACCCTTCGAGTTCCCGCCCGCCTCCATCGGCCAGCTGCTCTACATCCCCTGCGTGGTGTCCTCGGGGGACATGCCCATCCGCATCACCTGGAGAAAGGACGGACAGGTGATCATCTCAGGCTCAGGCGTGACCATCGAGAGCAAGGAATTCATGAGCTCCCTGCAGATCTCTAGCGTCTCCCTCAAGCACAACGGCAACTATACTTGCATCGCCAGCAACGCAGCGGCCACCGTGAGCCGGGAGCGCCAGCTCATCGTGCGTGGTGAGCTGGTTAGGCCAGCCCTCAGAAGGGGTGGGGGACAAGAGCATCTTTCTAGAGTTCCAGGTGGAATTATAGGCTCTTGGTAAGGTGGTTCTGGCTGGATTCTTAGAAATAGAGATACTCCAGCCTCTTCCTTTCAGATCTGGAGTGGAAGGTATCCTTACTTGGTCAGCCATGGGCACAGGCAGATTTAGGACTCCAGACTCTGAGCTCCCACTGTGGTACTTGCAAGAGCTCTCCATATTTTTGTGGCTTCACAGGCTGTCTGCTCCCAACGATGTAATGAGCCAAGAAGGCCTGATTCTGCTAGAAGAGGCCCCCTGACGTAGGGGAACCAACAGAAACTGACAGCCGCCTTTTCTCCCTGCTCCCCTTCTTTCCACAGTGCCCCCTCGATTTGTGGTGCAGCCCAACAACCAGGATGGCATCTATGGCAAAGCTGGGGTGCTCAACTGCTCAGTAGATGGCTACCCACCACCGAAGGTCATGTGGAAGCATGCCAAAGGTGAGCCAGGCAGTGTTTGTGAGAGGAGCAGGGGGTACCAGGAGGCTGCTCCAATGGACCTGGGACCTGTTCTCCCATGCAACTTCCAACCTGAACTCTGAACTTTGGGAACCCCTGCATCCAATAATCTAGAAGTCATTCTTAGCCATGCCAGGCTGAGGGACAACATGATGCTGAATCCAAATTTCCTAAAAGTTTGCTTTTTGTGATGTTGAGGATCAAACCAAGGGCCTCATGCATGACAGGCAAGTCCTCCACCACTGAACAGTATCCACAGCCCCCAAAGCTCCTCCTGTCCCTACCACTTGACTCCTGCATCCCTAAAACTAGTTTGTATTGCTTTCTCCACCCTGCCCCACCCATCCTAGGGTCCTATCTAGTGTGAGATCTTAGTCCTCTTTCAGCCCAGCCTCATCACAAGGATACATTCGGTATCCAACGAGACCCCACATGATAGACTGTCCATGTTGGGATTGGAGGGGTACCCAAGGCCCCCTGTGGAAGACAGCTGGGCCTGACTGCATGTGACCAGGCAACTGTCACATGAGAATGCAATCTTCTCCTGGCCCATTGCCAAGTTGACCAAGGAATTTATTCCAGCAAGTTCAGTAACAAAGTGGGCTCTGCCTGAGGTACTGCCCCTGTCATCTCTGTGCCTCAGGAGGCAGGTCCAGGCCAGGAAGTATTTCACTGTTGTGCAGTCGGAGGTGCGTGGTGTCATTCTGTAAGATGATGTCACTCTGACCGTGAAACGCCCTCAGGTGGGCAAGAGGGCTTTATCAGGCCTCTCCTAAGGTACTAAGTTATACCCACTCCCCACACCCCTCTAAACTGCTGCCTCCCCTCCTTTCAGGGAGCGGGAACCCCCAACAATATCACCCAGTGCCCCTCACTGGCCGCATCCAGATCCTGCCCAACAGCTCCCTGCTGATACGCCACGTCCTGGAAGAGGACATTGGCTACTACCTCTGCCAGGCCAGCAACGGTGTGGGCACCGACATCAGCAAGGCCATGTTCCTCACCGTCAAGAGTGAGTATTTCCCCCCACTCCGGGTCTGCCAAGGCTCGCCAAGACCAGTCCTGGCTCTCCCCGATGCTTATCCATCCTCCCCCTGGGATGCTGCTTTTCTGCTCAGAAAGATCAAGGTTGCTCAGAAGTGAGCTTGGGAGTCTCCCAGAGGCTTATCCAAAACAGAGGCACACTCTGACTTGTCTCAAGACAAGAATGTGGGTTCTGATAGCTGTCTGCTAATTTTTCAGATCGTTATCAGCTGGTAATTCAATCTCAATACAGTGCAATAAAACAACCTCTTTCTGTCCCTTAGTACATATTCAGCTATGAACAGCCTGTTTACAGACTCAGAAGGAAGATACAGGTCCACCATGTAGGTTGGAAAACTGGATCCCCAGTCCCGGTCTAGCTAGTGACCTGTGTGACCTAGGGAGGGTCATTTTGTCTCCTGTGCTCTAGTCTTCCGCTTTGACTAATGCAGCAGCTGAGTGTGGGTGGAGGTACCTAGGGACAGAACAACTCTGTAACTCTGACTCCTCAGGGAATGGCCTCCAAATTCCCTCGCCAGAGCCACCTGGATGGCCCTGGAGCCACTGTTCTGCTCCCTGGGTTCCATTAGGCACCACAGAAGCCGTTCATGCCTGGTGAGCCTTACTCCTATGTGGGTTTAGGACCCTTTGTCATGGGTCCCTGAGAACCACATCAGGGCAAGGGTTCCTGAGGTCCCGGCTCGGGAAATGGATTTCAGAAGGTGGAGAGGACAACTTAAGTTTTGGTGTCCACCAGCCAAATGTGATTCTGGGGACTGTGATGTCACTACTATGGGACACATATGTCCTCCTTAAATCACATTTTCCCTATCTATAAAGACGATATGATGGCCCACGGCACAGTCTGTGTCCAGTCCTTCGTGTATGTCAGGCAGCCAGTGTGATCCTGACCGGGCACAGATGTGGCCAGCAATGGCCTTCTTTCCAGCGTCCCTCTACTCTAGGGTAGCTACGGAGAGCTGCAGAGCCCATGTGCAGTCCACCCTGCACCTTCTGAGAGTTCCCTCCATGAGCAACCCTGGGCTTTTATCCAGACGGGGAAGCCCTGCCAGGAGATCGATGCTGAGGAAGCCTCTGCCCGCCCATCATTGGAATCCCCGTGCTAAGAGCAGCCTCCCTCCCATCATCAAAAAGCACTTTGTCCGTAATAAAGCCAGGCAATCAATCTACATCCCTCAGCCAGGGAGAAGCACAAGGGCAAGAGCCGCTCCCCTGGACCTGTCCTTGCCAGTTCCTTGCTGACTGTTTCCTCGCTGTCAGCGGGAGGTCCAGCTCTCCGCAGCACTGGAGTCCACTGTGCCAGTGAGGCTCCCTCTCTGGCATGTGGATTTCCGTAGATGCGAGGGGACAGAGCAGCGAAGGGCACAGTGGTTGGAAGGTAGGGAGTATGTGAGGAGACCTGGTTCATGTCAGGCTGGACTTGAGATGAGTCACCACACTTCTGGGGACAATAATATTCTGTGTTGACTGAACCAGTCCAAAGAAGTGAGGAAGGTTCTGGGGGTAATAGAACATTATCCCTCTCTCATACAAACACACACACACACACACACACACACACACACACACACACACACACATACACACGCATTCATGCAGTTTACCGGTGACACGGCTGGAGGAAGCCCAGACACCTCTTAGCCCATTCTAAATGTCCCAGTGTCACCAGCACTCTCCCTGACCCACTTGCAGAGGCTGCACCCAAAGCCCATTTCAAGGTTCACCTTGGTGTCTCCCACTTTTAGTAAATATTTGACTTGATTCATCTCCATGGTATCAGATCGAAGCATTCAGAGGGCTAGCTGACCTCTGTGTACACTGTCCCCAAGCAGAAGAAAGAAAGAAGTGTATCAAAGGGTAAAGCATATCCTAAAGAGTCATCCATGGCAAACTGCACCTTTTGGCTGGGCCTTGCTGAGGGGACACTCATGCTACTGACCTGACAGTACTGACAGGTGCTAGGTGCTTCATGACCAGGAGACGAGACCTCCCTGAGTTCAAATCCCAGCTCTGCTACTTGAGAGCTATAGACTATGCACAGTGACCTCTGTGAGCCTATGTCCTCCTCCTCTGTAAGCTAACAGTTACAATACAGAAGGCCTCCAACTTCACAATTTTCAGTTTTTACTGAGGCGAAAGTAGTATGCAGTCAGTAACAACTATATTACAAATTTCAAATTTTGCCCCTTTCCCAGGCTAATATTAAGGTCTAGTACTCCTTCCCAGTGCTAGGCAACAGAAGTTACAGAAGCTCCCACGTAGCCAGATAGTCATGATGATAAACAAGAGACAAGCTTGTCTACTGTGCGTTAAGATAGAAAGCTCGTGGGATAGCTCCTACGCCGTGGCATACTGCATTTTATTCTCCTGCCTTCCCTCCCCTCCAGCCTCCACCAGTCACACTAGGCAAGTGTATCCAATAGGTTTTAACTCAGGATACTTCCAACCCATCATAAGTTCCTCCAGGGGTCACCCTGTTATGAGGTGTAGGACTTGTGTACTTTTTCTCACTAGTGAGGTTTCAGTGAGACTATGCATCTACCGCGATGTATACAGTGCTGGACACAAGGTGCGCATCTGACCATTGTTAAAAATGGTTAGTCTAGAGACTGGAGAGGCCATGAAGAGAGACAGAGAGCTCCTGTTCCCCGGGGCGGGGGTGGGTAGATGGCAGACATGTAAACAGATGGTGGATGGGTAAGAGGATTTCTGAGGAGAACTGGAATGTATAATAATGGGAAGTCCACAACCAGGTATCTGTAAACAGACCCTGCTGGTAACATGGCTCAGTCAAGATCAAAGGGCTCAGAGTCAGAGAGTCCAGAGTGGCATGACTCTATCCAAGGCTAGACCCGACAATCGGAGCTCTGGTGTCCAAAGGCAAGAGAAGAAGCGTGTCCCTCCTCTAAGACAGAGAACTTGATGTCCTTCGCCTTTTTGTCATCTAGTTTCCCATCTGACTGGACAGCACTCATCTGAGAGTGGGCCTTCTCGTACATGTATGACAGCTCATACACCATTTCCCCTGTCCGGTCCCTGGGGATTCCATAACACAGTCCAGGTGACACCTGAAACCATCCACCCCAACCAGAGAACTTGGGGTTTGGGGCTTGTCCACATCCTTGGGCATCCTAGAAGACAACTGCTGAGTTGTCTTTGACCCCCAAATCTTGGCATGGATCAGCTCTTGAGTCCCTGAGCCCAGTCCCACCCCTTCATTTGTGGCACTCTTCGATTCTCTCCCCACATTCTCCTTGGGAGAACTGGCAATGGTTCCTTTCCAAAGATCCTGAGAAAGTGGGTCAACATCACTGAGTCACACTGCTGTGTCCACAGCTGAGACCATCAGCCACCCCTTTCTTCCTCCGGGTCATGGTTTCCTCACCCATAAAATAAGAATTCACTCGAACTAGAAAAATCCAACCCTTAGCTGAGCCATGCCAACTCTAGCCCGGCAGGCTATGGTTCCAGCAGCCTGTGGAGTCTTCTCAGAGCGCCAGGCTGCTGCCTCCCAGGTCTTAACTGAAAATAAATGTAATTAGCAGAAGAAAATACCACGTCCACAGGGCTACCTTTAATCTCCCTTTTAAGAGAGAGAGAGAGAGAGAGAGAGAGAGAGAGAGAGAGAGAGAGAGAGAGAAAATATGACCAAAAGAAGGAGGAGGCAATTCCTGCTCCACCTGATATACAGAGTAAAAGAAATCATCTTCAAAGAGAATTAATTCCTCAGTAAGAGGCAGGTACAAAGTCAAACTGATTCGCTGGGGGTGGAGGGGACTAGCTGCGTTTTGATGCCACTGTCACATGGCATCTCCCCTCCCAGGACTCTGCTGTCCCCCATCTTTATTAGACAGTGCTCTTCCTGCCTTAGGTTCCCCTGCACCTATCTAAAGCCTCCAGTGACGGCCACAGACAAAGCCCATGGCCAATTAAACCCAGAAGGGCTCTTTGTTTGGTTTGAGTTTTGATTTGTTTGTTTAGCAAAATGTCAGGTCAATTAAAATGAGTTCCAAAGGGCCCTCAGCTCCCACACACCTGCATCACAGGAAGGCAGATGGAAGGAACCGGACTCTAAAGGCGGTGGGTGGATGGAGGGAGCCAGCCTAACCCAAGGAAGTCTTTGAGCTGCAGTGGATCAGCTTCCCTGCATAGCTGACCAGTGGCACTGACATCAGGAAGTAAAACCTTAGGAAGCATAGTCAACTCTATGTTCCCTGATCCAGGAAAGCCCCTGTTCAAACTCGTCCAATGAAAACAACTCTCATCAGACAAAAAGGGTGTCTCCTTAGACCTGGTGATGGAACTACTGCACCCCCTGCCACAGGCATAGGAGGCAATGAGCCAAAGGAAATGATCATCCAGAGCCTGCAAACCCATACGTGCCTGTCTCCTCGCTGTCCAGGGCTTTTATTTTATTTTATTTTGTTTTTATATGTATGGTTATTTTGCCGGCATGTATGTCTGTGCAATACTTGTGTGCCTGATACCTACAGAGGCCAGAAGAGGATTTGGATCCACTGGAGTTACAGACAATTGTGAGCCACGATGAGGGTACCAGGTCCTCAGAAAGATAAGCTAGTTCTCTTAACCCCTGGGCCATCTTTCCAGTCCCCCAATACCTCTTTTTGAAGTCTCTCCTCCCTTGCTTGGACTCTCGACTTGAATGAACCATTTGCAGTTCATGTAGATGATGCCAGGGCACACAGATGGGCATATCACACATGTGACGCCCCACTGGGAACAGTTGGTAAACTGAGGCACAGAGAAGTCTAGCAACAGAGTGGCCCCATGTTCTCTGGCATATTTCCTGGTGGTGGGGCCTGTCTCTCCCCTATCTCTGAGCCACTTGGGGTCCAGAGCTCATCTGTCCTCCCTGTATTGAATTCAAACCCTGGCACCTAGCACACTCCAGACCTCTACCCTCTCTGGCACTCTGTGCTGGGAATGGAGGGGCCCCTGCTTGCAAAT